AGCTGAGCTGAAAAGTTTCCAAATGCTCAGGCCAAGTTTCTACAGAAATATGTATTGCTGCTCTTCTGAATCAAATCCAAGTGATGTTGCTCATGCTTCTTCTTTTAGAAGAAAATGCATTTCCCCTACCTGTCATTAAAAGGGTTGATGGTCTTTTCCATTACACAGATGTGTTCAGCATGAGCTAATGGTGGTATTGGTGCGGTGAACTAAAATCAGAGAAATACTCTTGAAGGTTTCTACCTTCCTAACCAAACTCTCCCTCATTTTTCAGCTCACCTCCCCAATGCTCACCCCTTAATCCTGGCTCTTGTTTATTTTAACTGAGCCTGTTAGTTTGTTTATTTTGTTTTGCTTTATGGGTTCCTTTTTTCTCTGGAAGATGTTGAAATTGATTTACATGACTAAATTGTATCTGACCAAGTTAAATATAAAATATCTGTCTAGTCAGGATAGCAATGAGTATTTTGAGATGATACAATATTAAATTTAAAAGTAGATTGCATCCAGAGTTTTTCTTTTTATAAGAAAAATACAGGATATAAGCTACAGGTGGCTTTTTTGCTTTTGAGGTTTAAATATCAATAACAGAATTTAAATAATCATTACAGCATATTTTATTCCTCTTTCCTCTTATAAAGCACACATTTCATTTAGAATGGCTGTGCAATCTGTGCATGTATGTCCTGCACAAAGAAGACCAGACCATGGATTATGATTATGATATACATTTTAATTCCCAGTTCATAATTAATATGCATTTTTCCTAACAGGGATATTTTCTTTATAGAAAGACAGCTTATATTAATATATATGCAAATATATGTTAAATAATTTTGGTAAAATAATTAGGTATGGCACAGACTACATACATACAAAAAGAACTTTTTGGTGGCAACAAATAAGTTACGTTACATGTGTTTGCATTATAGAAGTACATTATAGAATGTATTTATAATATTTACAATGATTATATGCTTATATTTTTATAATATTTATATTTATTTAAGCAAAATAAGAGAACTAGATTAAAAATGGAAAATGTTTACCTCTTAAGTAACCAATAGGTCAGCACATGCCAATTTAGTATGTTTGTCAAATTAAACTCATCATGTAAAAACCAGGAATGCAGTTAATTAGGTTAATAATAAATCAAAGCTTTCAGATTTTACAAAATTGAAAATTGGGCTAGCTCTGTAGCTCAGTGCTTAGTGTGCAGTGCACCATGATATAAACTCCAACAGCAAATTAAAATTAAATAAATAGTTGAAAGTGATCTAATACTCATCTGAAAATTTGATATTAAATTTAACAAGAATAATGACAACTGAATTTTTGGTTGACACTTCAATCCCTAGACGTGTGACACAGACACAAATATTTCATTTAAATGCAGAGTTGTCATCAAGATCCTTTTTGGATTCCCCATACTCAGGATCTCTGAGGGGAGAACTCAGACTCTATACAAATCACAGTGAGAAAGACAGGCCGAGTGGAGCAGAGCACATTCTCAGGGTGAACACAGATGACAGTCAGAGACCACTGTGCCAAGTTACACTTCAGACCACTACTACTTTTGAAGTCTTGAGAGCAGACATCTCTTCATGAGAAATACCTTCATGTCCTGGTGACTGACAGGTTCATTTGACTTCCTTCATGGAGGGGCAATGGTATGTCCTTGTTTGTTTCAGAGAGACTACAGCTAGACATTCATCTTATAATGATTAGCTATCTGTTAATAACCTTCCAGGCATTGCAGAATGCCATGTCTCTACCCAGGAACAGAGATTAACATCATGTATGATGATTCATTTTACCTATAAGAAGAATCCTGTGGTTTCAGTTATTGATTTTAAAGCTCTGTGTTATGAGAAAGGGGTCTTCCACAATTATTTCAATCATATTAGTATATAACTATGTATATAGTAGAGTCATAACAATTGCATAATTTCAATAGTGGTGTGTAGCTCGAATGTTACAAGGTCTTTTAATTAAAAAAAAAAAAAAAACCCAGTACGAGATACTGGGGTAAATGCTGAAAGATCAGAGAGACAAAGGAACAAGTCACAGCCACCAACTCTTACCTCACCAACTCCCCAGCCTGAAAAAACCTCTAGTTTCCGACTCCTCATGCCTTATACACCTTTCTCTGTCCAGTCATCACTTCCTGGGATTAAAGGAGTGTGTCCTTCCCAAGCAAAGGCATGAGATCTCAAGTGCTGGGATTAAAGGTGAGTGATTCCAAAGTACTTGGATTAAAGATGTGTGCCACCACTGCCTGGCTTTTATGTTTAATCTAGTTGTTTGTTCTGTTCTCTAATCTTCAGGCAAAGTTTATTAGGGTAGACAAAAAAATCACCACAGTGGTGTGTGGTCGAGTTCGAGGCCAGCCTGGTCTAAAAAGTGAGTTCCAGGAAAGGTACAAAACTACACAGAGAAACCCTGTCTCGAAAAACCAAAAAAAAAAAAAAAAAAAAGAAGACATAAATGACAATGCTATTTTAATATCACAAAATTATTCATACTATATATACGACTTTTTCTTAACAATGGATTAAAATGATTATGTTACTTATAAATACTACTGAAATTGAACATCTTTTTTAGGTATGTGAGATACTTTTCTTGGTGATTAAACATATATGTTCAGGGAATATATCACATATGAAGACATTTTAGCACTTGTCTGTACTCACGATAAAAATTAATATAGAGAGCTAAGTAACAAGGAGGGCGCTAGGAAGGATGCACGACTCGCTCTAGGAAGGATGTATGACTCTCCCTAGGAAAGGGAAATAAAATAGCTTTTTCTGGCAGACTGGGAATGAGTGGGGATGGGAACAGGAAGGAACAGGTGTGTGGAGGCGGGAGAGGTAGAGATTGGGAGAGATACTGGAACTGGAAGGTGTTTGGGGGTAATGTGGAAACCTAGTGCAGTGGAAATTTCTTGGAACCTATGAAAGTGATCCTTACTAGGACTCCTAGTAATGGAGGATGTGGAGCCTGAACCAGTCATCTTCTGTAACTAGGCAAGACTTCCAGTGGTGGGACTGAGACACCAATCCAGCCACAAAATCTGTGACCCACAACCTGCTCTGCCTGCAAGCTGTACTGTGGCAAAGTTGGCTCAGTACTTATGGGTGTGAGGAATCAATGACTGGCTAACTTGAGCCTCATTCCATGAGAGGAGGCAATGCCTGATACTGCCTGGATTACCAGGAACCAGAAGCTGGATAGCCCAGAGTCCTAGGGTAGAATCAAAGACAACTGGAAAAAAAATCAATGAAATGATCCCTATGATATTCTGCTATACTCATAGATTGATCCCTTATTCAGTCTTCATTAGAGAGGCTTCCTCTAGCAGCAGATGTGAACAGCTGCAGAGACCCACATCCAGACATATGGAGAGAAAGAGTCTAAATTTGAGGTCTTCATCATGTCCATCTACTCAGAGATTGGGGGACCCCACAGAAGAACAGGAGAAAAGATGGTAGGAACCAGAGTTAGGTTCTGTCTACACATTGTGATTGTTTAATTTGGTGTTTTTTGTGGGACTCCTATCAGTGAGAGTAAGGGTGTCTCTGACTCTTTTACCTGTTCTTGGGATCCTTTTCCTCCTATGCAGTTGCCTCATCCAGCCTTGATGTGTGAGTTTATAACTACTTTTATTGCATCTTGTTGTGCTGTGTTCATTGATATCCCTGGTAGGTCTGCTCCTTTCTGAAAAAAATAGAGGAGCAGTGGATCTGGGAGAGGGGACAGTGAGTGGGAGTGGGGTGGGGGATGACTTGGAGTACTGGAAAGAGGGAAGCTGTGGTCAGGATGTATTGTTTGAGAGAAGAATGAGAAAAATCAATACATGGCATGTGTTACATTTTTTTTATGAATGAAATTCTTTAAAAGAGTCATACACATAAAGAGACCATGGAAGTAGAGCAGCTATGTGTCATGGATCCTTGTGTTGAGTAGGTCATCACTATGAGTACACTGAAATTTGTGTCTGGTAAGGAGCACTGTGTTTCCATGGGTATGAGGCAAACCAGGAAATCTAAAACATGTAACAATGACACATTACATTAGAAAATAATGAAAGTTATATTTGAAAGCAGCTCTTTGACTACCTACCATGACATTAAGAGAAATCTTGAGTTACACTGCTCTATCATCGTATTCAGTTGACAATCATGTGACCACTGTAATCTATTACTGAGGCAACAAAATGTAGTTTCGAGAGTCAAGATAATAAGCAACTTTTACTACAAAGTTTTTCTGATTTTAATTCCATTTATTTTTTCATGTGTATGATTTGCATAAATGCGTGTGATGAGTGTTCATGTGTGTTTGTCTGTACATGTATTCGTCTGTGTGAGTATAGATAGGTATGTGACACAGCAAGTCTGAGGAGGTCAGGACAACTTAAGATGTTTATCCTCACATTCTGCCTTCTTTGAGGCAGGGTTCTCTGTGCTGTCTTGCCTGCATATACCAGTGTAGCTAAGCCACTGGGAGAGGGTACAGAGGGTACAGTAAGTTTAGCTTCTGGGGGTTCATTTGTCAAGGCTTTCCATCTAGGATTACATAGTGATGCAGCATTTAGCTTTAACTTGGGTTCTGGGGATTCAAATGAAGCACCCCAACTTTGTACTTTACCCAAATGTGTCATATTCACAGTCTAAAATTTCTTATTTTAAGCAAAAGATTTCATGAACATGACTGTTGTCAACATTTCCATGTAAGGAATATTAATAAAGAAAGTGTAAACAAAAATATAAAATACTGTGAAATGTTTGATTAAAATGTTCTTTTACAGTCGGGCGGTGGTGGCGCACGCCTTTAATCCCAGCACTCGGGAGGCAGAGCCAGGCGGATCTCTGTGAGTTCGAGGCCAGCCTGGGCTACCAAGTGAGTTCCAGGAAAGGCGCAAAGCTACACAGAGAAACCCTGTCTCGAAAAACCAAAAAAAAAAAAAAAAAAAAAAAAAAAAAAATGTTCTTTTACAGCCTCTAGTGTGATATGGCCCTTTCTCTTAAAGCATGAAGCAGAGGAAACATACTTCAAGACTCAGCAAAGTTCCATTGGCATTGTACAGAGTTTCACACACCAGGCATGTAAATCTCAGATGGAACTCACATTTATGACATTTGAATTTAGTAATAGCAAATTTTTCTGTGGTTCATAAGTGAAAATTTGTAAGTATTATTTGGATCTTGTTAGTACTATTCTTATTTTTTCTTACCTATAAATCTGATAAATTTTACCTTTCAGGTTATTTTTTCCCTCTTATTCTTGAGCTTTGTTACATATGAGATCAAATATCTCAGGAATGTTTCCAAGTTCTTCTAAGACAGCAGTTCTTAATCTGTGGTTCACAACCCCTTTGGGGTCAAACATCCCTTCACAGGGATCTCCTAAAACCATTAAACACAAAGATATTTACATTATGATTCATAATTGCAGCAAAATTACAGTTATGAAGTAGCAATGAAAATAATTGTATGGCCGGGAGTCATCACAACATGAGGAACTGTACTAAATGGTCACAGCTTTAGAAAGGTTGAGAACCACTATTTTAAGCGGAACCTTTCTTCTGTCTTTCCAGTCAGTCTGCTGTGTCTCAGTATTCTCTTCCCCAAGGGGTAGGATCAGAATTTCCATCTGAATAAAGATGAATGTGCTATAATATTTACTCTCATTTCTATTTTCCAAATCCTATACATCAGTGGTTCTCTGGTTCTTCCCAGAGCTTTGTGTATGGGGACTGTGTTGTATGTAGATATATCAATTGAAGTTGGCAACCCCACCATCAGATGTACTCTGCATTTTGACCAATTGTGGGTCTCTTGTAACTAATTTTAATATTAATAATATAAATAACAAATAATACTTATCAATGATATCCAAACTTCAAGTTTTGTTAATAAATTCCATAAATTTTCTTTTGTAATTATTTAACATTTTAAAAAGGGTAATTGTTAGCATACATGCATAATGACTTTATCTAACGTATTAGAAATTAAAAGAACTCCAGACTTTGTGACTCAGAACCGTGATTCATTATAAGAAACAAACAAACAAAAATGTTCATTTATATTTAGAAGGAAGTGTTAGCTTATTTGTATGTAGCCAAGCTATACTTTGCCCTGGTACCAAGATAATTCTGTTTAAAATACACACAGTATGTGGTAGAAAGGCAGAAACCTATTCTGCACCCTGAAAAGTAAAGTGTGAGTAGCCCGTCCAGCTGGTCCAGCTCTAGTTTTCAAAATAAATGAAGCCTTGACCTTTTCCTGCAAATTCCTGACTCAATAACGAAAAAAACCAACACATTATTCTTCTTTTGTATAGTGCTGCCTAAAGCGATAACCCTGAGAGCTGGGCTTCAAGGACACATCCGGGTGGGCTTTTCAAGAACACATCCTTGTTTATTACATATTTATAATTTAATACATTAATTTATTTTAAGTATATGAGCCATTAAATATATAAAGACTCCTTCTTCCCAAGCTGTAAGTACTATCCCTCTGAACAAACTTCTCCACTTAAATTTATGTGAGGTATTTTGCGCCAGGTATTAGAAATATTTTATTTTTAGCTGATGTTAGTTGCTTTATAGTTATTATACTCTTTCTCCCATTTTGACGGTTTCTTATATTTGATTTATCTATATGTGTCTTATAGTCTTTTGATAGATCATATTTAAGAAGTAGAGATACAGTTGTTCACTGGAGGCTGGAATGTATTGCTGATAGCTGATGGTTGTAACATACTGCTGATAGCTGATGGTTATAACATACTGCTACAGCCTGCAAAGGCCTTGGCTCTTGTCCTTCTTACTTTACCAACACTCCTGCCAAATAGAATACATTGTTTTATCGTGCAATACACAATAATATTAAGGAGAAGTGGGTTGTCTCAAAAGGTCAATAAGACTCACGTAATATCTCAGAAGAATTGATTAAAAAAATAGGAGAGAGACAGAGGACCAGGATGCCTGCTGTAAAGTAGTGTCTTCAAGGCATGGCAATGATGCTGCTCCCATGAGATTTCAATAATACTGTTGCCTACACACGACCTGATTATGACCAAACCAGTTGACAGTTTCATGAAGACACATCCCTAGAAGGAGAGCATCTGATAGTCAATGAATGCTGAGAGAGGGAGAGTCAGTTTGCTCTAGGGATGAGAGCATTTGTAGGTTAATGGATTCAGTAGGTTTGTGTGTGTGTGTGTGTGTGTGTGTGTGTGTGTGTGTGTGTGTGTGTGTGTGTGTGTGTTATAACAATCACAAGTATGGAAGAGGCCATGGATTTGTGTAGCACGACTCTTAAAGGGTCTTATTATTAATAATAATAATAAAAACCCCCAGGGGCCAGCTATTGGGGTGAATTCTGAAAGATCAAAGAAGCCGAACAAGCCACAGCCATCTCACCTCGCAAATTCCTCAGCTGAACCTGTTTTCCTCAGACTGGAAGCCTCTGAGTCCTCATCCAAATGGCTCTCAGCTGAACTTCTGCTAGAAGCCTAAAAGCGTAACCAGGCTCTAGTTCCTGGTCCTCACACCTTATATACCTTTCTGCTTCCTGCCATCACTTTCTGGGATTATGGCTTTGAACTCACAGAGATCCAGATGGAATGCTAGGATTAAAGGTGTGCATACCACCATTTTCTGGCCTCTGTATCTAGTGGCTGTTCTGTTCTCTGACCCCAGATAAGTTTATTAGGCTGCACAATATTTTTGGGAAACAATATCACCATAGATTTGAGAAGGAGTAGGGGAGACATGGCAGAAGTTGGAATGGGAAGTGAGAGGGGTAGAAACTGTATAAATGTATATGAAATTCAAAAAAATTAATTTGGTAAAAAGTTTTTGAACAAGTTCAAATGCAACTAAGACTCAAAAAGTCCATTGTGAAGAGGTTTTTAGCATCAGGAATTCTGCTCAGATAATGTGATCCAACACGGAGCACTATGGCTCACAGGTAGTGAACTTGGGCTGGCTTTCTACATCTTTTAAGGAAAATAAATTAAGTATCTTGTTAAAAATCAACCACCTCTATTTTATAAGAAATCTTTATGTGTAAAAAATTAAGCCAACCACAGAATAAAGAAACAATAACTAAATAAGCAGAATGAATTTGAAGAATACCAGAGATTGATAAGTCTATCACTCCAAGGTTGATAGATGTAGACTGTTCCTTAAATTACATAAATTAATTTCTTCAACTGATTTTCATAAACACCTCTGAAGAAAATCATAGAAACTGCACAAAACAAAGAATCAGAAAGAAAAGACTCTCTAGACTAGTTGATGAAGACTGAGCAGCTTAGGAGACTGAGGGCAAAGTGGCCAGTGTTCGACAAAAGGTGGGCTTCTAGAGACAACCAAAGTACTTTTGAGTTCTGGATCATATACCTGATGGTCCCTGACATCTGCCAATTCCTGATGATGTGGGGCTTTGGAGAAAAAGACCAAACATGGACACATTGGAAGTAAAAGAAAAGTCACAGCCATGATGAGTCTTAAATATTCTTCATTGGCATGGAAGAAAGCTTTACAAGGAAATAAAGATCAAAGAATAAATCTATCTGCCATATCATCTCAAATCTTGAAATGAAGAACAGAAATTTCTACCCTTAGGATGCTATCCCAGAGAAAACTAAAATATTTTCTAAGAAACAAAGCCAGATACTGAAGGATACAGGAGTTTAATTAGAAATATACTATTATAATAAGAAAGTTGAATGTGAAATGCTGTCTTGATTTGTGTATACGCAGGTGATTTGAAGGGTTGAAAGAGAATGGTAAAACACTAAGTCACATGAGCAGGAGCTCAGCTGAGGAAGATATGGACAAATACATAATAAACTGGAAGTGGAAGTTTGATCCATGCAAATCCTACCTCTGCAAATCACCTTTATGGAAATTAACACACTCTTGTTCCTCAGACACTGAAAGCCCTCAGCCTCATGTGCACATGTAGAGAACACAGAGGAAGTTCTCTAACATCTTTGAATTTTACCATCTTTGAATTTTTGTGGGAAGCCATATTCATCTGAGGGTTAGGGCTTTGGCTGCTAGACAGTAGGTTCTCTTCTGTGCCAACTTCTATGGTCCGAGGCTGAGGCACTGAGTATGACTTGACATCTCAAGTGACAGGAAAAAGACTAAATAGTGTGGTTAATGACAAAACCTTTGTCAGTGGAGAACATCACACTGTTTTCTATTTATTTCCTTACTTTTCCACAGAAAAAATTCATAGTACAAGAAAGGCATATAGTGATAAGCTAGTGGAAAACTGGATATCAACTTAAAGAACACTCAAAGGAAAAGACTGAAATTTTAAAATATTCCAATAGATCCGAGACACACAAGAAAAATATTTAAGCAAAGAAAAATTTCCCCTTTTCAAATTATGTGTATGTATAAAACCAAATTATTCAAGGAAAAATACTTGTAAAAAAAGAGGAATTTAAAACTGATTCAAAATAAGTATCTACAATATACAATACATTCATTATTCTAATAGCATACCATTTATGACTTGCATATAAACAAAACTATGAAGTGTTAACCAACAGCTAAAAAGCAGTAGCCATACAAATATAAATAATTTCAACTAAAGGCTTAATTTTTACTATTAACTTGATTGAAGTGTGGAAAAATGATCATTTTCCTAGCAGAGTGATAACTAAAATAAGTAGCTTATTATTTGTGGCATTAGCAATTCTATCGAAAATAAATCAGCATGTCTCATGGTCTATTTGAGAATATAATTTGGACATAAGTAATATTTGAAACAGAATATGGCCAAAAATATTGCATTGCACTTCTTACTACAACATAAGGATAGATTACAGCCTAAATCCACAGCACTCTGAAGAACAATGGTGTGGACTTTTTCAATGTCAATCTTCAGTTGGATTGAGAGAACGTTCTCAGTTCTGACAAGGAAACCAAAATTAACATTCCTGGGAGTGATGTGGGCTATGAGGAGCAGAATTTCAGGTTTATTGATGTGCTAGAAAAAATAGGGAAATTAAATAGGGGATGGAGAGATGACTCTGTGAGTAAAAGCAAATAGTTTTCTTGCAAACCACAGATTCATTTGTGGCACCCATGTTGGGTAGTTCACACCTGCCTGTAACTGCAGCTCCTGGGTATCCTAGGGTCTCTTCCTCCTTTGTGGAT